AATAAGGAATATCAAGTTTTCATACTAAACTCTTTAAATGAAAAGCAAGAAAACAGACTTGAGTGACTTTGGAGATGGCCTCTATCATTTATGTCATTATCGTGGTCTCAGCAAAACTGATATGTTTCTGGATTTAATCCATGTTTCCCATCTTTTATTAAGTTGCCTTCTTTGTGTGTGCTAGTTGCTCAGTCGTGTCTGACTCTTTGCAACTCCATGGACTGGAGCCTGCCAGGCTCCTCTGTCCATGGAATTCTCCAGGCAAGAATACTGGAGTGGGTTGCCATTTCCTCCTCCATTGCCTTCTTTATCTTTTCTTAAATCCCTGGTCTCAAAAATTTGCAGTCCGATTAAGCACCACCATGGATACATACTTAGGTATAAAGTATGAGGTAGACAAAGCTATGTGTGCGTGCTCAGTTGCGTCCAATTCTTTGCAACCCCATGGACTGTAGTCCATGGTATTTCCCAGGCAAGAATACTGGAGTGGGTTGCTATTTCATCCTCCAGGGGATCTTCCTGACACAGGGATTGAACCCACGTCTCCGTGCGTTGGCAGGTGGATTCTTTACCACTGAGCCACCTGGGAAGCCCAGACAAAGTTATACAAGGCTAGAAAAGGGAGGGGTTTGTGCTGTTGGAGGTAAAAGGAGAAAACTTAGAAGAGGATGGATTTCACTGAGGTCTGAAAGGTTGGGAAGACTTTGGGGAGAGCAAAAAAAGAGAGGTGGTGGTGGGTGGTCTGGATTGCTGAATGATGAACAAAGGCATTCAGGGGCAGGAAAGCTTTGTGTTTGTATGGACATGTGGTGTAGGGATGAGAGGAAGAAAGGAGGTAGGTGTGGAGCAGGAATGGGTTGGAACTTGAGAACCTACATCTGTATTTCAGTGGAGGAGGGAGTGGACAAAGAAGGCGGTTACAAGACTGTTCAGAGGCAGTATAGCTTAGTTGTTTTGAGTATGGGCTCTGGAGCCAGACTTTCCAAATTGGAATCCTGGTTCTACCACATATAATTTGCATGATGTGGACAAGTCATCTAAATTCTCTATGTCTCAGTTTCTTCATCTATAAATCAGAAATAGTAATGGAAACTTTGTTTGAGTTATTGTGCTTGGCTTATAATCTGGTGGTGGTTTAGTCGCTGAGTTGTGTCCAACTCTTGTGACCCCATGGACTGTAGCCTGCCAGGCTCCTCTGTCCATGGGATTCTTTAGGTAAGAATACTGGAGTGGGTGGCCATTTCCTTCTCGAGGGGATCTTCCTGACCCAGGAATTGAACCTGGGTCTCCTGCATTGCAGGCAGATGATTTACTGACTGAGCTATGAGGGAAGCCTATAATATATATAAGCTCTATATAAATGTTAATCATTATTGCCATTGCCATTGAGACAGTAGTTGGAAAGTCAGAGAAGGGTCAGATTACAGAATGTTTTGAGATCATGTCAAAGGCTACTGGAGGCATCATAGCTTCTTTTTAGTTAAGTGAATATGATGCTATTTTTGGACGTTAACCAATCTTGGCTTTTAACATCAGATATACTCAGCATTAATTAAAATTTTATTCACATTTTATTTAATTTTTATGCTACATCTATATTTTAAAGGATGATAAAGCACACCAACCAAGACTCTTAAGATCTGGGTCAAAGTCTTTCATTGTTTGATATTATTTAATGATCTGGAAACAAGATAGGACTAATACCCAAAAAGTCAAGGCAACTAATATACAACAAAGTTATAGATGAAAGAGAAAATTTGAGTGGTAATTAATGATAGGAAGGTGAGATTACAGAGGCAAAAGCAATCATGTATAAGAAAAATATATTTTAACATTTAAAGGATAGAAATTGGTAGAATTTAAGTGTGGAAAACAATGAGTCACCAGCCCAGGTTGGATGCATGAGACAAGTGCTCAGGGCTGGTGCACTGGGAAGACCCAGAGGGATGGGATGGGAAGGGATGTGGGAGGGAGGATCGGGATGGGGAATACATGTGGATCCACGACTGATTCATGTCAATGTATGGCAAAAACCACTACAATATTGTAAAGTAATTAGCTTTCAACTAATAAAAATAAATGAAAAAAAAAAAGAAAACAATGAGTCAAATAAAAGTAAATACTGAAATCAAACTTATTTAAATAGATTGGATAAGCACCAGGCAGCGACATTAATAAAAAAATAAAAGGAAACATACATACAGGGAAATATACTCAAATTTAGTGTAAAAATTGCCTGAGCCTGACATCCCTTCCATTATAATTGAGAATAAAAGAGTAAAAATATTATCTTTCCCCTATCTTTAAAAGGCATCTGCTTTAGGATCATACTTACTTTTTGCTCCAGACAGGTTAAGAGTTAATATCTTGAGTTTCAAGTTGAGTAACAGGTATCCAACTCCCAAGGTTGTGCACCAAGTCCCTATAACCCACCCCATCCCACCCCTATCCCCACCATGTTTTGGATGACATCCTAGACTCAGCAAAGGTGAAGATGGACTGTCCTCTGGGAGAAAGGAGGGCGGAGGCCATTCCTTCTGATGGTCAGGTCATGTTTCAGAGGCGTAGATTCTTCTAAAAATTGTATCCTCACCCTCAGACATGCTCTTATCCCAGTCTAGGCCATCTCTATAAACAGCATTTCTACTCATCCGTGGACTCCGGTCAGAAACATGGCATTCATCATGATCTCTTCCTTTCTCTTATCTTCACTCCAATTCATTACTAGATCCTGTCCATTCTGCTACCAAAGTACATCTCAGATCTGTCCACTCTGCACCACCACCAACACCATTCACAGAACTGGTCAAGCTAACATTTATCCAAGTTAGTAAAAGGAGCCCTTTCCTCTGGGCAGATGCTGGGATTCAAGTCCAGCCCCATTTTGCTCTGTGCAGGGCGTGGTCTCCCAAGCTTTGCATGATAGTCCAGGACCCCAGCCTAAACCATGTGGCACTGTTGTAATCATCTCACTGTTCTGTCCACATACAATCTCATCCCCTTCCAATTCATTCTACAGATAGAGGTACTACTTTTATATTGCCAGTTTGATAACTTAATAGATTTCCATTGCTAGTGGGATGAAATCCTAAACCCTTAACATGACTTTATGACCTAGTTCTCTCTTTTTTACTAGCACCATTTCTCCTTGATAACTTTCAGCCCTGCTGCCTTATTTTGGTTCCTGAACCTTGCAAGCTTCTCCCCTACCCCAGGAGACTGCCAGGATTCCTGACTTAGTTTGACTAATTTCTCCTCTTCCTTCGGGCCTCAGTTAAATGTTACTTCTTCAGGGAATCATCTCTGAACCCCAAATCTAAAGTAGATCTCCTCACAGCACCTGAGTCATACATTTGTAATTTTATATTCACTAGTGATTTACTTGTTTAGTATCTTTTCCCCTACTATATACTGCAAGCTCCTGAGTCACATGTGATCTTGACTTAACCTAGTGTCTTTCATTCATTCTGTTTCAACTTTCTACCAAATGCATTTTCTGTGTCAGTGACTACACTAGATGCTAGGCTTATAGAAATGGATAGATGACGTTTTTGCTCTGCATTATTCATTAAAGAGTGTCAAGTGCATTGATTAGGATAAGGCTAGCTGCTAAATATACCTTTTATTTTACCCATGTAAAGTCCAAAACAAATATTGGATGACTTTCCATCAAGTGGTAATTCCAGGGACCTTGGCTCCTTGTAACTTATGGCTCTGCTCTCTTCAGCATGTGGCCACTGAGGGGAAACAGCATGGAAGACTGCCTGTGGACGATTTTTTTAAAATGAGCTAAATCTAGATGCTAAGTCACTTCAGTCCTGTCTGACTCTTTGCAACCCTAGGGACCACAGCTGGTCAGGCTCCTGTCCATGGGATTCTCCAGGCAAGAATACTGGAGTGGGTTACCACTTCCTCCTCCAGGGGATCTTCCAGACCCAGGGATCAAACCCATATCTCTTATCATCTCCTGAATTGTCAGGCAGGTTCTTTACCACTAGTGCCACCTGGGAAACCTAAATCTGGATGGCTACACGTAACTGCAAGGGAGGCAAGAAAACACATTCTATCTCTGTAAAGAAGAGTAAATAGATTCAGTGATCAGGTAGCACCTTCAACAATACCTGGTACAACACTGGCATGACAAAGAAACAAAAATTAGAAATGGAGCTTGTTGTCAAATCTTATTACCTACGAGAGTGAAGACAGAAATCAATATTATGTCTGATCTAGTATACCAAATCTCTAACTTCTAGGAATCTATATAGAAACAGCTATTGGAGTGAAATTAATCGATTTATGGATGTGTCTCTTAGGATAAGAAAGTTTAAAAAAACTAATATATTAATACTAGTCCACTTTAATTCTGGATCACCTTCAAGGTTTCCGTTTTTATTTCCCATGGTTTTTAGCCTGTCCCAAATAACAACCTCTCCTTTTGAGTTTCGTGGGCTGCATTAGGACAAGTCCATAGTTAAGGCCCCTGGAGGAGGGCATGGCAACCCACTCCAATATTCTTGCCTGGAGAATCCCAAGGACAGAGGAGCCTGATGGGCTGTGTACAGTCCATAGGGTCCCACAAAGTCGGACAAGACTGAAGCGACTAAGCAGCAGCCGCACAGTCAAGGGAATCGAATGGATGAGAACAGTTAGAGACACACTCTAATAACTAGAGATCTAGTATTGACAGAGCCACACAGTAGCTTTGAACTTGGAAAGATGTGCACCTAGATCACCATGTAAATGAATTCTTCCCATTTAATGGTTTTCCTTGTTATTTTCTGCTCTGAATGAAAACACTGTGGAAATCTCAATCATTCTTTGGTATCAAAGTAGGCACATGGTCACCTGTGTGTCTGAGGTAATGTCTGTACTTAAAGCTTTTCCATTCTGAAACTGGTTTTCATGTCCTCGACAGAACCTTAGTATTAAAGGTACAGGAAACACAAAGCTCTAAAGGACCTCATCAATCAGAAGCATTCATCTGTTCCTTAACTTTAGTCTCAATTCAGGAGAAATCTCAAACCTAGAGTTTCCCGATTTACCCTACAGATGAAAAAGTGAAACATGCGTGCATCTTCGTCAGATCGGTTGTACTCTTCCCAAGAGAGAATCCTGAGGTAATCGGGGGACACGGTCTTGGATCTAGCAGTTTCCTGCAGCTGGTAATTAAATTTAAGGGTCCAGCGCGGCAGGTGGAAACAGTGCCGCCGAGCACCGGCCACGCGGCAGGTGGAACGAGTGCGGTAGAGCTTGGGCCCTGAGGGTGTTTCCGTGAGCCCCGGGGCGGAAGGGGATACCCGCGCGCGCGCCCACCCACGGGGTCTCTGGAAAGTCGGCGAAGCGCCCGCAGCGGAGCCCGGAGCCGCGTCCGCTCGGCGGCTTCGACGGACGCCCCGCAGGACGCCCGCCACGCCCCGCGCCGCCCTGCAGGCGAACGCGGGAGGCGGCGAGGCCCCGCCAGGCCGCCGTAGCGCTGCGGCTCGAGCCGCTCCTCCCGCGCCGCCCTCCGCCCCCTGCCTCCCGGCGCCGCGGCAGCTCTGGGCAGCCAACGCCGCCGCCGCCGCCGCCGCTTCCTCCTCTGCAGCCGTTCGGCCGCTGCGTGACGCGTCGTTTCCTCCCAACATGGCGGCCGGGGCAGGTCGGCGGTGATGGAGGCCAGTCCGCGGCCGCGGCGGGTGCTCGTCCCCACAGGAGCCAGGGCAGCCCTGCTCTCGCCGGGCCTCTGATCCGCCGCCTCGTTCGTCGGTCCCCCCGCCTGACGGCCGCCGGGCTGGGCTCCCTCGCCGTTTCCGGGGCGGAGGGGCGAGTGAGGGGGAAGGTGGTGGTGGTGGTGGTGGCCGGGAAGCGACCCCGGGGCCGGGAGAAGCGGAGGTCCCACGGGCGCGGCCCTTTGGGGGACGGCTACGACCGGCGCACCCCTCGCCCGCCCCGCAGCCGGCCCGGCTCCCCCGCCCCTTCCTGATCCCGCCGCTGCCCTCCACGCCTCCTCCTCTCCCCACCGCCACCCCCTCTCCTTTCTCTCGGCTCTTCCTCTCCCTCGTCGTCGTCCTCCTCCCCTCCAGCCGCTGGGATCCGCGGGTCGGACGAGCCGCCGCCTCCTTCTCTGCGTCCATGTATGAGGGGAAGAAGACGAAGAACATGTTCCTGACCCGGGCCCTGGAGAAGATTTTGGCCGACAAGGAAGTGAAGAAGGCGCATCACTCCCAGCTGCGCAAAGCGTGCGAGGTGGCGTTAGGTGAGCGGGGAGGAGGCCCGAGGGATGGGGGTGGGGAGGGTGCGGGGCGGGGGAGGGAGGCCGGCGCGGGAGGTGGGGTCGCCGGGGGCGAGGGGCTCGCCCCTGGGCCGGCGCCACTGACCTCCGGGAGGCCGGGCGAAGCTTTGGGGCTGCGTGGCAGGAGTTGACAGTAACTCGGCTCAATGCGGGGCAGAGAGCCGGGCCCGGGGAACGCGGCCGGCCTGGGGAGTGGCGGGGGTGTCGCCTGGGGAATCTGCGAAGGTTTGGTTGGTGGCCCGTGTGGTGCGGCTGGGGCATCACCCTTTGTCAAGAGGCAGGAGAGGAGCTGCTGTTTATTCGCTGGGAAAATTGAGGTGGAGCTGACTTGTCAAGATGGGGCGTGGGAAGGGTTCCGTCTCGTAATTTCAAATAACTTTTCGTTTGGCGTGGTACTTTGGGAAGAGAGGCTGAAGTTGTTCCCTTGTTGACAGTGTCGAGAAAGGATTTGCAGAGGTGCAGCCTGTGCTGACATCTCTCCGCCGCCGCCACGGGAAAAACAGAGAGTAATGTTGTATCCGACTGGGCTGACCTGGAAGAACAAGACCTGACGTTAAGGGGTGGGGGTGGCGAGATAAAAGCGGGGAAGGAAAGGACCTTTAGATAAGCTGGCTTTAGTGACAAGGGAGGGAGGCTTTGAACCGGGGGAAATGAACAAGACAATGACACCCACCAGCCACATGTCTGGACCGTGACAGCTGCTCGCAAGCTTGAATTGTGATTTACAGTTCAGACGAGAGAGATCTAGTGTCTGAAGTCCATAGCAGGGTAAATGCAAACAATACCTACAAGCGAGGACTGGCAGATGAGGAATTGTTAAGGGGGACCACTGATGGATCTTTTGCATTCATCAGGAATGAAATCCTTTAAGGAAGGACCAGGACATTAAACGCAAAGATGAATTCCTAATGCTTGGCTTTAGTTTAAAGCGCTGGAAACAGACTAGATTAAGTTGATGAGAAAAGGAAGCGTGTTAAGTGGGCTTGGAAAAAAGCATTCATAAAAGGGGCAAAAATCCAGAATAACTCAGGTGTATGCTAAAGGGTCAAGATAGCTCAAAAGCAGCTTTGCCTTTTAATTATTAAAATAAAAAGACTTTTTAACTTACTGTAATAAGCGGTTTTTTATCTTCTTTTTGAATCCTTTAAAGTGATGTGAGAAATATTATTGAAGAAATTTTCATTAAAATTTTTTTGAATTTTATGTATAATGAATTAAAAATTTTTTTAACTCTTCATGGATCAGAAGTTCACCTTTTGTTACTCTTGTAGCTAGCAAAAGACTATTCCAGGTTTATGAGAGGATGTTGTACAGTGGTAAAAATTGAATTTGTAGCTGGGTCTTGAAAGAAATAATTAACTTGAGGCAGGATGAGGGAAGGAGTGATTTGGGGAATTTTTTTAAAAAATTGTTATGTGTAGGTTTTTGAATAACTTGTAGGTTAAAGAAGTTAAGAGTTCAAACTGAAGTTTTAGTTTTTGAGGTCTGATTTTCTGTGTTAAAATATACCTTTCATATACTGAATTATTAGAGTATTAGACTAAGGAAATGGAGTGTTATGTGTGTGTATACATACATATATATATATATTCCCCCCCCCTCCAAAATGCTAATATAAGTATCTGTTCTAAACGGAATGCTTCCTGGAAGGAGAATCAGATCCTGGCTTTGAATTGCAGTTCTGTTACATTGTAGCATAGTCAGGTCTCTGGGCCTCAGTTTCCTTGTCTGTACAGTTAGGATATTGAGCATAATGATTATAAGGTTAGGTCCCCTCTAATGTGCCACAAATATGACCACAACTGTTTTGTTAACTTGTATATTGAGAGTATTCCTGTCGCTCTTGATTGGCATCTTTAGAGGCTGTAATGGCTTGGTCCTTGATGTTTGGAGAGGGAGGGACCACTTGCTCATGTCTGCCTCGGCTCTACAAAGATTATTTCAGATTTTACCAGTTTTTAGTTGTTTGTCCCTTCCACATAGTTAACAGAAGCTTATGAGGAATGTCCCAGAGTACTTCGTTTACTTGAGACATATAGGGCTTTTTCCTTTTATTTCATAATTACATTTAGTCTCCTACAAAATCTCATTGAGCAGTCTCATGGTAATTAATCTCTGATGACCTTTGTTTCTTCCCTTTTAGTCATCCATGTACATTACCGCCCAAACATAATTTAATAGGGATGATACTTTTTATCTTCACAGAAAGTATAATGTCCTGTAGTAGATAGTATCCCCAAATATATCCCTGAAAACTGTCATAGACCTCCCTCTTCCACTTCACTATTGCGACCTGGGTCAGGCTCCCTTTGGTTTCTTGATAATCTGTATGGCTAACAAGCTGGATGGGAGAGTAAACTGGAGTGGCCTGGTTTGGTCATTTCTTATCTCTAGGTTGTGAGTAGGTAGGAGTTGGCTGGTAGTGGTAGAGAGGTCGGTGTTGCTCTAACTCTTCTAAATAGACTTCGTATATAACCCACCTCAATACACCTGCCTGCATTTATTCTGTGGTCCACCTCCCCCCCTCCCCCCCCACTGCCGTGCCATTTTTACTGAGCACCTACCATACAGCTGAAGGGAACAAGAAAATACATCTAATCCTTTTGTGTTTTAAAATCATGTTAGTGGTGTGTGAGTAGACTTCAGAGCACTGGTATTCAAAATTCAGTTACCTTTTAACAAGATGACCTATAATAAATTGATTTTCTGTAAATTATACTCATGAAATTATAGTTCAACTCATGTTCTTAAGAATACTGTATTTTTTTCTTTTTTCTTTGGTCACAATATAGCTTTTTGGAAACCTTACCTAGATAAGGGGAGATTTTACTTTATTAAAACAAAACCTAATCTCAAAAACACCACATAAAGGAGCTTTTATTTTCATGTAAAGAAAGATAATGAAACCTTTAAAGCAGATTATTGGAAACTTTGTAAAACTGTCTTAGATTTCAGACTTTATTTTGAAGTAAAGTGGTTAAAAAAAGAAAAAGACCCCCGCCCCCCCACGTTGTTACCATCAGTGTGAAGCCCGCAGGCCCAGGAACAGCTCCAGGTTGCCCTCTCTTGGTACCTGCCCCACACCAGCTTCCTGCAGCAGCCACCGAACTCTGCAGAGTCAGGGCCTCCAGGCTGCCCTAGCTTAGCTTGATCCATTCCTGCTCTCTAGAATCCTGAATTAAAAATAGTCTGGCCATCTGCTGGCAGATGAGACAACAGCTGAACTATTTTTAGTTTTAAAGAATTTAGGATTGTTGAGGGATTGGGCTTGAAGGTAGCATTGTTTGTCTTATAGGGAGGGGAGGGTGCAGTTGGGCCCTATTCCAGCCAGACCCCCAAGTTTCAAGAGTTTCTTTGATGTTAGGGTTATGACTAGTTCAGCTTTTGCCTCTGACATCGAATATCTGTGAAGATATCCTGCACGTGTTAGGATGAGTGAGTTCAAGGTTGGAAGCTGGCACTGATAAGAGAATAGACGTGAAAGAGCTGACCAGAAGAAGGTTTTAGAGGCGAGGGAGGCCTGCAGAGAGCGGCAGTAAGTTTGGGCTCCTTGCAGAGATACTGGGAAGTGATGGAGAAAAAGAGGGATTGCTAGGAAAGTACTTTTTGCATTATACAGGGTGTGAATTTGTGTTCATCATGTTCTAAAGTGATCTACTGATCTTTTTTTAATGAGTTTGTTATCTAAGCTTATAGTCTTTGCCAGAAATGTAGATATCAATATCGTATTTAGGCTAGAAACGTACAAAACTTGCTTCATTCTGCACCTCCTGTCTCGCCCTTGTTTTGGTTAATGGCGTTCTAAAAAAGAAGTATGAGTCGGTGGGGGCGGGATTATTTGAGTGCATTTGACCTCAGTTTTATGCTACTTCTGGTAATTTTATTAATTTTTGTCACTCTTGACTATTTATCAGAAAATGACTTTGTCTCAAATAATACCCTGCAGACAGTGAGTTATCTTAATTATAATTTAAATCCATTAGCAAGTCTCTTTTTAAACCTTCCTTGATATCTAAAATAAAAAATGTTTTCAGTAAGTCAGGCTGCCAGAATTTTTGAGGTAGCTAGAAAAGAAGGGCGTGATGAACGAAGTGAATGAAAGAATATATTAGGTTTGAGTGGAAAAAAATAAGTTTGGGTTACAGTGTATATACTCTTGCCATTGTGGAAATTTATACTGCACATTAACATAGTTAAGATTCTGAAGAGTCCTTTGTGAAAAAAAACCTGCTCAGTTTTGCTTAATGAAGTTTTCCCTAAATTTGACCCTTTTCAGTATCTGTTAACACCCCTTGGAAATATTGTTCCTTGAAATTTACTTTGGGACCCTGTTCAAGGGAAAAACAGACAAATGGAGATACAATGGCCCTACCTACTGAGGGGAACCATTCTTGTGTTTTTGGAAAGCAGGAGTTTTGTTGATAGTATGTGAAGAAGGTTAGAAATGAGGTGGAGTTGGACAGAGTCGTATCAGGATCAGAGGGCCGTTTGCTTTCTAGCTCTTTCTTTCCTATCCTGTCTAATGGCAAGCAACTACTCGTCTCCAGTGTTAGTGTTTAACTTGTAGAGAAACTTCTGTCGGTAATTGTTTTTTCAAACCAGAATAAAAATGTATTGTGAATGGGAAATAATTTGGGGGAATAGTTGTCATAGTATTCGTCACAAATTGGATGAGGGAATATCTGAAAAGGGAAAATGCATGAACAAATTATTGTTTCCATTCCAAGTTAAGTATATTTTTCATTCAGATACTTGGTTGAACTAGTATGGGCCAGGTAGTGTTTCAGCGCAGGGCATAGAGCAGTGAGCCAAATATGCTTTCATGGAACGTATTTTCTAGTTGAGGCTGAGAGTAAAAAACTAATGTTTTGTATTGTCAAATTGCTAATTGTTACTATTTGAGGAAATAGTTCAGAAAGGTAAAGGGAGAGTGACCAGGAGGGCAAGTATAGGCGGGGCTGTCA